CATGAGGTTATTGGGGAGGGGACACATTATTCCTATTGTACTTCAAATCATACCTGCTGATGCATAAGACAACCTATTACTGTAATTTGCATTCATAAAATAATTTGTCCATAGTGGACAGGGCACCAACATTGGCTCCAGCCCAGGGTCCCACATCATGTAAATCCGGCCCTGGTGAAGACAAATAAATTCCAAGCAGGCTAAAGCAGAGAGTCCCAAAAAGTAAAACTGAATGATCAGAAAAATGGTGTAACATCGTCTGCAACTTTTACACTGGCTGAACCAGGAGCAGCGGGAGAGAGGACGAGGATGCTTCAGCTTCTTGTTTTAGTCCCTCCCTCTGCCAGCTTGACCGGGTGACACACTGAGTTGTCAGGATCGATTGAGGCTCCTCTGAGATGGCAGCAGAGACCAAACGTGGCACAGTGTCGCTCCGGAGTGCCACGTCTGGTCTCCCGTCCTTCAGCAGAAAGTCAGTTAAACTGATTAACTGAGCAGGGATGCAGCAACCAGGATTCGAGTCTCAAAATCTCAGACAGAGAGATATTAGGCTTTAAGCCTCCAGCCGCCCGGCTTAACCCTCACACCTAGATTGATGGGCTATCTGATGTCGCCCTATCTACCTTCCTCAGCTGTGTCCCTATTTTTCTACTTATTCCTACATTAAAGTCTAAGCGAAGATGGGCCCCACTGCAGTATCTGACCCATCCTGGCAGAGGTCACATTCAATAATAAAACTGCTGTTCCTGCCAAAAAAAAAAAATAAAAATTAGAAGAGGTTCCATGAGGTGAAGCAGAAAGATGACGAGGATACAACACAAGTAAGGAGGGAGGCAGAGCGGAAATTGTGGTCAGATGACACACCAGAGGCATTTGTAGAAATGAAAATAAAATATTTTAAGAGGTGGAAAGATGAGATATTAACATAAAGAAGGGATAGACATTTGAGATCTGCTGCAGGATTGTTTCCTGTTCGGGCTTCCTTCAGTCACTCCCTGTTCCAGTGCCAGGGCGATGGCGCAGCGGCTAAATCAATCAGCTCTCTACTTTGCTGACAAGGAGGAGAGTGTTGGTTTACATCACTGCAGGAAAACAAGGAAAGACCAGTCAAAACAACACATCTTTATAAAAGAGGATAAACCATGATATAACTTAGTTTTGCAGCATTTTAAGTGTAGTAAACTAAAAACTGAGTCAACATACTTTATAAAATGTTGTGTTTTTGCAGTGATACTCCACTTTGCGTTGGTCAGTCAGTAAAATATCTTGATAACTTTATTGGGTCTTCATAGTATTGCATGGAAACTATCCCAACAACCATATATTCCTTTCTTTTCTTCTCTCAAAATGCCACTTACGACTTTAATGCTGGTAAGAGCAGGTATATGTGCACCCTCATAAAGTGGGGTCACGCTAAAGGCTTTGCAGAACGTTCCACCTTCTCCTGCACATTACTCCACACATCGTTTACACCACTTAATATAAATGGAAAAAAGGATTTATCTGTGCTATAACTTTACTCACCGCAGCACTATCATCAGGTCTGAAATGAGGGGATGTGAACCGGAATGTTAAAAAGTTTAAATGGTTGGAAAAGGAACAATTTGCAGGGGGTTGGGGAGAAAATGTTCCTGCACTCCCCTGGAAGGAGGATTTTTGTGCAGTGTCCGTGAGATGATGGGATGTTTTATTGACTTATTGCGTGAGGTGGACTCTTCACGGTCCCGCTCCGACATTGCCCACAGCGAAATGAAGGGATGGGATCCCGACCCGTTAACCAGACGCACACCGCAAATGTCTTGGTGTCAGGACAAAAAACCAAAACAAACACACACAAAAAAAAAAAATCAGATTTGCCACCTTACAGATTTCTTTTGCTGTTTTGCTTTTTGTTAAACTTAAAGGTTTGAAGCACATTGTAATCTCAAAAATAACCAGAGTTACGTACAAAATGCATTTTTCAAATGACAATCATTTATTGAGGGGGAAACAAAGCCATCCACACTAACATGGCCTGATTGGGAGAAGTAATTATCCCACTTGTTAAATCAAAAGTTAACTGTAATAAACCACATTTTTGAGATTATGTTCACTAGTGGGGCTAATTCCTGCCAGACCTGCAGAACCATAAATTTCTCAAACAAAAACCTTTGAAGTGGGTCACAATGACACCGAGACATTAACTTCTGTGTCTGGAAAACAACGGCAGAGTCACAACTGAGGCTTTGAGACTAAAGTGAACCAAAACAGAGAGATATGACACAGTGGTGAACTTCTCCAGGAGTGGCCAGCCTATCAAAAGTACTCAAAAAGTTTGCCTACGATTCTTTTAGGAGATCAAAAAGCAACCCGGAACAACATTGAAAGCCCTGAAGGCCTCGCTTATGCTTTCTGAAAGATATCTGGGTGATCACAATGACTTTTGAGGATATATCCTGTTGAGTTTTTTTGGAAAACGTCGATGAAACTAACAGTGTTTCAAAAAACCAACGACAAATGGACGGCTGAACATCACCACCGTGTTTATCTGTGGTGTGATGACCTGGGTCTGCTTTGCTGGTTCAGGACCGAAATTATTTTAGATTTTATTTGGAGCTATGACCATGATATCCTGACAGAGAGTTTCCTATCATCAGTTTGTTCTTTTGACCTCAGAAGCATTTGGATTGTGAAGTAAGATAATAATAACAATTTCAAAAATCTAATTGTGATGCTGTGATATGACCTTAAAGGGGCTGTTCCTGCATAAAAGCCCTCCAGGGTGGCTGAAATCATTTCTACAAAGAAAAGCAGGATTGTTTTGTTTTCTTCTTAACGAAGGAAATTGTCGTTTCAAAACTACTCTGGGTTGTTTTGTTTTTTTTGTCCAATTTCACGTTTTTATGATCGGAAAACGTTTAAAAACAGAATAAGTCTGCGAGGGCGAAACACTTTCCTCACCACATTGTTTGCCTGCCGTCCCTCTGTAGGTCTGTCTGCCTGGTTTCGCTCCGTCCGTTCTGCAGCCTCTTCAGCCTCCCTGCATGGAAAAGCTTTCGGGAGAGCCAGAGCTTGGAGATCCAGCAGTTTCAGGGGTTGTGTGATGGATTAGAGCTCAGTCCCTGCCAGTGGTGTTAGCGCAGCGACTGAGCACTTGGCAGAACAACCGGTGTCAGGGGAGGAGGGAGAGGAAAGAAAGAGACAGAGGAGAAGTGGAAGGCTGCTACTAGCCAGAGAGAGGGGTGTGAGGACAGATAAGGAAAGGAGAGAGCAAATATCCATGAAAATGTTTCACTTTAATCATCAGCTGGTTGCTAGCAACATCACGGTTCCTACTATGTATGTACATGTCGACTGTCTGTGTCCAGTTTCCAGGAAGTGGAGCTTGGATAGTTATTTTTATGGATTTCTCTGAAAATCAACTCAGGAAGTTCAGCAGAAACACACAAAACGTTGCAAACAATTGGCATCGTTGCTTCGAGTTGTGATCTAAAGAACTTCATTTCTGATTTCATCGATGTCGTTAGGTCTGCAGCAGTGAGATATGAAGACTGTAGTCGTAGTGAAAGAAGCCGGCGGTCAGTAAAGCCAGTAGGGGTCACACGTGAAGCTGGAGAGCTTTGCTGCAGTTCAGCCTTTAAATGTGAAGCAGCAGCAGCAGCAGCAGATGTTTGGCTTGACTCAGCTGTAACCTGAAACTGTTCTGACACAGTTGAAGGAGACTAAGCTGTTTACACTGAAGCTGATATCTAACAGCGGATTATGTGTAAAACCACGGGTGTAACGGCACAGATACGTCACGGTTCGGTGAGGTACCTCGCCTTTCAAGTCACAGTTCATTTAGACAGGGAGAAGGAAAGAAATACTCAAGTTTTCCCTCTGTCTTTTCTCCAGATCTATTGTTTCTGATTAAAAATACTGTAAAAACATCTTAAAGGCCAGGAGACAAAAAAAAAAAATCATCCTTAGTATCAGAAGATCTTGACAGGTTAAGCTATGAACGACCAACCAGGTCACTTTGCAGTTAAGTTAAAAAAAAAAATGTAGATAATTTGTATCCTGTTTGAGCTGCAGACGATATATCAAACAAAATAAAAGTTTTGTTTACCTGAAAGATAGCTGAGTTATCAAAAATAATCAAAAAGTAAAAATAATATTAAGGATTGTTCATTTTAACCTTGCAAAAAATGATAATAATAAAAAATTAAAAAAATAACCGTCATCTTATCTATTCACTAGTGACATTATTACGCTATGCAGATGCTCCGTCTGCACCAGTGATAATTTAATATGCTTAGCATGCCAAATGCTAAGACGGGATCTTAACGTAATACTTCAGCCTTAATGTTCAGAAAATTTGACTTTTATCCTGCAGCGTTAGGAAGAAATAGATAAAGAACTAAAACAAGATGGAGACTTTGTTGCAAAAGTGAAAAAGTTTTCCATGCAGATAGAAAAAAATGGCCCTTTATATTTGTGACCCATCGTTTCTAACCAGGAGTTTTTAAGAGATATTTTTGTAAGTGAAGCGGCCAGCTGACTGGCAATGCGTAGCAGGCAGAAGTTGTGAAATGGGGAATCCAGTCTCTCCAGTACTTTCTTTAGCGTTTCATAAATGGACTTTAAAGCATAAGAATAACATAAACTCCTGGTAAACCTTGAGGCCTCAAGTCTGTTTTCCAGCAAAAGAGGCTAAATACAAAAGCATGCCATACTTTATAAGAGTTTTATTTGTAAATCCATGTATTCTTTACCTTTCACTTTACAATTATGCACTGCTGTTGGTCTGTCGATGAGAATCCTACTGAAATAATTCGGCGGGGTGTGGAAAAGTTCAGAGGATACGAATACTTCTGCAAGGCACTGAAGATACGACTTTAGCAAAACACTTATTTCTACATTACAGTCATCTCACAGTTGTGAGCCAGAGGACTCCCTCACTCAGTCACGGAGTTAACCAAACCTGTTTCGTCCCTCTAAAGCCCCCAGGAGTCCCACACTCAGCTTCAGTGAAACCACAATTATTCAGTAATTTCTTTATTGCTCATGATTCATTACGTACAAAACTAAAGGAAAATCTCAAAGAAATGACAGGGGGAGGAAAAAAAAACATATAACAGATTGTTTCTTAGTAGGTACAGAAGGTCAAATTCTGTGTCAGAAATCCCGCACATAAACACACACACACACGCGTGCGCGCGCGCACACACACACACACGGTGGGAGGACGGTAGGAGTTTTAAAGGATGTATGAAATTTGCAGCTTTAGCAGCGAGCCATCACAGCACTCTGAGTTCTAAACAGCAGGTGAAATGATATCTTCTCCTGCATGTATACACACACACACACACACACACACACACACACACACACACACACACACACACACACACACACACACACACACACACATGCACACACGCACATACATAGTATGTGTTAAGAGATTACGAGTGGAGGGGAGAGGTTTCAAAGCAGCTCCTGTCTCTCAATCATCACTTCCTTGGATCAAGGCAAAGATCAACACCCTCAGCAATGAGTGACTGACTGAGCAACAACTTCATTTTTTCATTCCTCAGCAGCAAAGGCTGTGCTCGCAATTCTCAGAATATGCAATATTCCTTTGAATAAGACAGTCAGCCATGTTATTTTTCTCTTGAGTTAGAAAAATGGCATTTTTCAGTGAGCGGAGATATTTTCAGAACGGCTGATTAAAGGTGGAACTGCTGCAAAGAGAAGAAAGTCAGTATCCACTGATACAACATTGTCTCTCATGATGGGTGATTTTTAAAGACTTTTTAAATTATCTCTTTTTTTTATCAAGAGATGCACACAGTGGTGGAAGACTAAAGTAAAAATATGGACCTGCTGTGCTTAACAGATTTACTGCTCTAGATATTCAACAGGCTAACTTTTTTTAAAATCCCATAAACTTCACAACAGTAATTGGAGAAAATGGCTGTTTTTCAGGTAAAAAGGTAACATAAAAACGCCTGGGGCTCAATCAGGTTTCCTAACTCCCTGTGAAATCACATCTTTTTTACTCAAAGTAAGATGAAAGTTAGGATTGTTTTTTTTGTTTTTTTTGCCCTGCAAACTGGTCCCAGTCATAAACTGGTCCCAGTCATAAACTGGTTCCAGTCATAAACTGGTTCCAGTCCTTCCTTAGCTCCCGTTCGGTCCCAGACGATGTGTCAAAAACTCTGAAACCGAGAACAGAAAGATGTTATTTAGTTTCCTGCAGTCAAGGGAGAGAAAGTAAGGATCTCTGTTTTAGGGCATTTATTGTATCGTTTATTGTCTTAATCCCAACAATAAGGACAATAAATTGTCCTTATTGTCCATTGTCCTTACTGCCTGCTGATGCAAATCATACGACTGGTGTCTGAAAAAAAAAACACATTACAAATGGGTGTGTTCTTCAAGAGCAGCGTTTGTTTTTGTGGGGCCATGGTTGCTGCGTCATGCTTTCGGAGACATACAGTAACCGAGAAAAGCCGAAATAAATGGTTCTTAGTGTCACGTTTATCGATGTCACAATAGTGACACAAAATATAGTGATAAAAATGTTAGTTTTTATCGCCCAGCCCTACTTGGTTCATGTGGAATATGTGTTTTTATTAATTTAGGAGAAGAAAAACCCATTAAAAACATATTCCTTTTGTGGTAGCAAGTAATAAAATGAATCACTTGTCATGGAGCTTAAGGGGGGCAATGCACTCACAAACCATAGAGACCATTTATTTATTCATAAATTATTATTAAATAAATCCCTCTGTTCATTCACAAAACCTGTGAAATAGTGTTGCTATATTAACATAATGGGCTGAGGACAGCTGTTCACTGACACTGATAATTAAAATGTTTTCCTGCACCGTGATCCTCCACAAAGTATTTACTGGATGAGACGTTTAGAATAACGTCCCATAATAACGGCGACATTGACCAACTTATTGATGATTTTGATGACGACACTGGACAAAACGTAATCTCTGTTACTGGTTTCACAATTTTAACTGCCTTGTCGCTGAAATGTGCTACGCAAATAAATCTGATTGATTGATTGATGTAATGTCAAGTTGGCTTTCGGGTCGTCAAAGTAAATCAACCAGTAAAGAACAGCTTTGGCGGGAAAACGCCTATTACAGAGAGCCTCGCTTCAACTCGATCTTTAAACCACGTGTTTATCGAATTCTGTATAAGTCGATCACCGACCAAAGACGTGTTTCTCAGAGAATTGTTTGAGACTTTCTACACGTCGACAAGCACAAACCCTCATCCTTTAACGTCCGTGGTATTTTTACTCTGTCCTCTGTTCGGTGCGGCGACATGTTAGCGGCGGCCGCTCTGTGTCCGCTGCACAGCCGTCGCCGGCACCACACTGAAAATAGTTACCCTCTCCAGACAGGAAGTATTGTTGTCCTCTGATAAGTACTGGCATGCTGCGGCTGAGAGGTCGTGCCCTTCTGTGCCAAATGATTGTGATGTAATATAAGACGGACGGACGGCGCTTCAAGCTTGCCTTTGACGAAAACGATCTGATAATGACAGCGTAAAGATTTAGCCGGGGTAAATTATGAGTCCAGGTGTGTCTGTGTGTGTGTTAAAGCTGATGATGGCGTCAGATTGAAGATGGAGGGGAGGATAAGAGGATGTAGTGATGCATGGCAAGAGAGACCAAAACAGGAGTGTTAATGTTCTCGGGCCCGCGGCTCTGACTTTAGCTGTGCCCTTGAGATTCATTTTGCATGTGCTGGATGTGTGTGTGTGTGTGTGTGGTGGGGGGGGGGGGTGCATGTGTGTGACTGCTGGCCTGTGTGTGTATCAGCAGACAGTGAGCTGATTCCTGTGCTTGACTTTGTGTCGGATAAGGTGCGTTACGCTGATGACTAGTTAACCCACCGTTGTAAATAAATCTGAAGCCACTCATGTGCATCAGCATCAAAAGATGCCGCCCGAAGCCATAAATATACACTTGCGTGTGTTCACAGATAGTCAGTGACACACGCATCGAGCTCCCTTGAGATTTATCCTTTAAGCGTTTACGTTCTCAGCAAAGGACAATAATGTAGCCCATCAATCTCTCAAACGGCTCAGCGTGTCGTTCGGAAAGAATTCACACTTCTGACGTTGTCCGCACTCTTCTCCCCGCCCGTCTCCGTCAGGAAGTTTGTCGTTTATCATCTCAGAACTCCAGCCTGTGGCGGACGGGCTGGAGGCGACGCGCAGAAGAAGAGGACGGGCTTTTGATCGTCTTCCGTCCATACATCATTCACCCATGCTGCTCGCAGAGATGCTTTGTGATCGCTCTGACCCAATTAAACAGACGCAAGTCGAGCCGCGCGCCAACAAACACTCCACTTTCGGTGCTCCGCAGTGACCTTGAATGTTGTCGTTTAAACGTATGGGCGACAGATCGCTTCTGTTTTTGCAAATCGTAGTGGTCAAAAATAACAAGCACACTCCTACGGGTCGGTGACCCATTTTTGATCAATTCAGATGATGTTTACAAACAACACCCCGGCTTAATTGTGGTCAAATCTGTGGAACTTGTCTGACAGCATGAAGTAGGCTGAGAGATTTCATGCCTCCATCTTGATGGGCGGTGAAGCGGCACACATCGATCTTCCTGGGAAGGACGTCACAAAGCCATTTTAACGGGTTTTGGACAACGCAGAACCAAAACGAGAACCAAACATAAAACAGTGGTGGATCTGGCCTATCAAAATTACTTCAAGGGCACATCGACAACTCAGAGAGGTCACACAAGAAGCAAGCAGGACGCCCAACACACTGCAGGTCTCACTCGACTCAGTTGAGAGGACATGATTCACACGATATCCGCACAGCCTTAAAAGTCTTACATTTAAATGTACATATCTAAAATGTCTTACATTCAGTTTTAAGCAATAAGTTTGCCTTTAATATGTTAGTCACAGGTCTTACATTTAGCATGTTCTATGTTTGGACGTCTTCATTGCGTGACACTCAAGACAGTTGAGACTACCGCTGGCTCATAGCAGCTAATTCAATGCTAATTAGCTTTTTTGCATCTCTCGTGGGTAAATTTATCGCCAGTTGACTGGATGAAGTTTCTGTTGAGTTGAGGGCTTTAAATTTCATTAGTAATGGTCTTAAAAAGTCCAAGACAGATGTTAAAACATGCCAAAAAACATGCCAGATTTATCAATAAGAAAGTGAAACTAAGCACAAACTTAGAACAAAAAAAAAAGAAAAAAAAAACTGAAAGAAGAAAAACTAAAAGCAATTAAATTGGTTTTCTCAGCCTTGTGTGTTCAGTGCAACGTGAGGTTAACCAGTAGGGAAGACCAGTCACATTATATAAAGTCATCATTAAGTGCTTGACTGACCAAATCCGTCTTATTACCATCTTCATGTGCAGCCACCATGAATCTGTCCCACTTCTATAACTCCAGGATATGGTTGCTGGCAGATCTTTAGGTTCACAGTGAAACCTAAATACACAGGTTACCAGCGTACTTGGTGCCCACTAAGGAAGACTTTGTCTGCCTTTACTGGGGACAAATCTTGAGGAGTAAATTGACTCCAAACCAGAAAATATGTCCAGGAACGAGGATCTGGAATCTGAGGCCGTTCCAGTCGGCAGCAGGAAAACAAGGACAGATTTGCTAGCTGCAGCTGTGCTGACAACTGTCTGCAGGGAAATGTAACAGGAGCAGATTGTGAATATAAACATTAGAGCAGGGATGCGGTGGCAGATCTACTGATATTAGCAATGAAATGGATGATTTCAACTGGGCAACAAAAATCTGTGCTTGAGATTTGCCTTTTTATGCAACGCCCGTCGAAAGAAGAATTGGAGAGAAACATTGAAGAACCCTGCACATAATGTAAAATATTTATTCAGGAGCATTTTGAGTACTCACTAGAAAATAGAATACTTGACAGAAAAGATACAAAAGGGTTTTTAAGCTCTTCAGAAATATTTTTAATGTTAACCTGCTTCACATTTTCAGAGCTAACAGACTTTTAAAAAGTTGTGTCGACACGTCTGGGCTGCATCAGGTAGTTTAAAATCTATATTTAGGGACGGTTTCGAAGCAGATAAGTGAAAAGAAACTGCAGTGCTGGAAGTTGGATTAACTGGGTGCAATGCTACTTGACATGCTATTGGCTGCCGTTTGCAAAGCAGCCAATGCAGGGGCTGCATTTACTCTCATTGGTGCTGATTGGCTGTACCCCAGAAAACTGAAATAAGGAAGACTGCTGTAGACGTTAGCTTCTGTGGTCGAGCTAAAACGGTTTCCCCTGCATAATGAGGTATATTTAGCATTGAACTGTGAGAATAGCCAAGCTAAACTCCAGGAAACTCAACTCTTCATGGAGTTTAACTATTTGCGGCTGGCTTTGGTCCCTGACAAGGGAATACTGATATCCACTATATTGCTGTAACTTTCAATTAGTTTTACATGCTCAGCCTATTTATTGAATGTGGACTTGGAGTCCTAATTTGAATTTCTAAGAGTCCAGCATGTGGGTACAAATCAAATGCACCATATAAACCTGCCACCAATCAGCCAAGTGAAACCCTTGGAGCACCGGAGACACGACTTCCTGCAAGGTTGCCAACGTTCACAATGCAAAGTTTTCTCCCATTTCTAACTCTGTCTAGATAAATCTCATCCCAATTAAGGAGATTTTAGTACTGTTCCCACCGACACCTGAAAAGTTGGCAACTCTTGACTTGAACAACTTGCACAATGTCGAGAGATGAGGTGAGGGACCAAAGTCTACCAATGTGGGCTTGTCGGCAATTTTAGACAAAATCTGTCACTGCAAAAGTAAATCTTGAGAAGAAATCAGCGTTCTGTCATTGTTAAAGAAAACGGTTAGATGTTACTGGTGCTACAAGCAACGTTGTCCTGTTCACTCTAAATAAGGCAGACTAACACTCAAAACTTGCCGGGGCGTTGCTCTCCCATCTCTGACATTCGTGTTGCGATTCCCCAGATGACGATTTCATAACGATCAGCTCAAACAAGGCGACATGTTCAAGTCACGTACAGTTTTGCGACAATGCGCAGTGATCTCTAAGCCTCAATTTCTCAAACGGCCACTCAAAACTCGGCAACAAGCCTGTAGTCACGCCTAGCTGAGAAGAGCACTGAAGATTCACTCTACGGAGCTCAAGCACACTGGAAGATCAGCCCGAAACCAGGTTTGTAAGTGGTGTTAAGCTGCATTGTCAGACACCGGCAAAGCTTTTTAGAATCCAAGATGTTTTTACATTCAAAAAATGTCACACAATTAATTCTGCTAATATCTCTCGTGTGTGAAGCCTGCATCAGTGTTTTGTGTTTTATTTTTTTTATTTTACTCAAACCTGCTGCGAGTCAAAAAGGCTACAAAACCAATTAAGCAAATAATCTCCAATAGTACTTGTAGCTAAAAAGAACAACAACAAAAAAAAACTCAACAAAGTGCCTGTTTGACATAAGAAATACGGCTGCAAAACTCCATCGATTGTCAAACTTAGAAACTTTTAATGGGAAGTAAAAATTTTGTTACACACACAAAAAAAAAAAATTATGCCCGTATGTGATGTGGTTTCCTTAAATGAACCCCGCTTTCCAATTCATCCCCGTGATTTTCCGTGAAAAGTTTGCAGTTTGAAGTATTTCTAAGATCCCCACGGAAGGTTTCTGATTGCCCTTTGACCTCGGCAGCCAAGATAAAGGACAGAACGCGTTGACGTCTGAGTGGCAGGTCCCTGAACTTCCTGTTGTTTGTGTTTCAGTGAGTTGTGAGTCACTTGTTTTAATGTACAATCACACCATTGAGTTTTCTATCTATTTGATTATGTGCCCCCAAAATGAGTTTTTGCTCCATGTGGACAGATTTCGTCCTGAACACAGAACAGCTAATGTTGAATACTTCGAGTGAAGATATCGTTTAAACACTGATATGAACAAGTTTCCCTGTTTCCACTGTGGCAGATTTAAGGCATCGGTCTTTTTTTTATTTTTTTCCTCATTTTTTATGAACCTTCCCCTTTTTTTACCTTTATTTTTCTGAATGAAGTGTATGTGTGCTTGAATGTGCCACTCACACAAGGTGTTGGTGAAGAGCACTTTACATCGCATGGAGGAACTTGTGGTTGTATGTGCAGGGTTATTGCTCTCAATAATCTCAGAGGTCAATCTGTTCTCCTGGCTCGAAGGCATCCTTATTGCTGTCTCTGATTGTTTCTCTCTCTCTCACACACACACACACACACACACACCCACACATACACAAACACACGCACGCTCACACTTAAACACACCCTTTTCGTTACGTTAAAGAGCATTTGCGATATCTAAATCTGCAACAAGAAGAGACAAGCAGATCTCGGTTTCCCAGCGAAGGCTCGTCCCTCCTCCGTTTTCTGTCCGCCTTCCCTTCAAGCAGCGTTTCCGGACGCCTCTCCGCGGCGGCCCGTCACACCTGCATGTTGGGTTTGCTCAGGTCCCCGTTGCCCTGGTTCCCGCCTCCGCCGCTCCCGTTCATCGGCCCCCTCTCGTCCTCGTCCTCGCTGTCCAGCTCCTCGCTCTTCCGCTTGCTGTAGCGCTCGTACAGCACCATGAGCACGCCCATCACCCAGGCCGACACCGTGCCGGCCGAGAAGATGACGAAGCCGATGGCGATGAAGAAGAGGTAGTCCCAGTAGCCCAGACCCTGGTGGCAGTCCGCCCGCAGCTGCATGCCGACCTCCGCCAACCGCTGGCCCGCCAGCTCCGCAGGGTTGTAGCAAATCGTCTGGCCCTCATCTGGAGGTGGAGGAGAGATGGGGGAATTCATTAGGAGGGATATTGCATGAAAGGACGTCAGGGCTGAGAATAATGAGTGCATATGGTGGAGGATGAAGGGCAGAGTGTCAGAAAGAGGGGGAAAGGACAAAAAACATGTAATTGCTTTGGAGGAAATGCAGACGACCATCAATAACGTCCACACAGACGCTGCCATCAACAATGCACTGATAACCTTCGTGATAAAGGATCCCAAAAGCTGATGGCATATTTCCTCTGAGTAATAAGCAAAAAAACACGTCTTTGGCGAGCAGGACGCCGAAACATTACTATGCCGCACACACCCACACGTGCATTCAAGGAAAGGTGACACTAGCCCTCCCTCTCTCCCTCGTCTGACAATAAACACCAACAAATGACTCTGCCGCTGTGGAGAGACAAGGAGACGAATGTTTTCTCTGACAAGACATCTGCCCTCGTAATGAGGAATATGATAATCTGACGGCTAAAGACGCAGAATTATTGGCATGAACCAAACACTGCGCACAGTAAAGGGTTCATTCGGAGGCGGAGGGGTCAGCGCTCGGCGCGAAAAGGTTACAGCAGCCAGACAAACAGGCTTATGGGATTAAAAGTGTTTCCGAAGAGCTTATCGGGAGCACCGATCAGCATGCCAGAGTCAATACGTCTTTACGCTGACGACACCGCTCTGTTCTTGTAGAGATTTTGTTCATCATTTACTACAAAAATAAATCAAAAGGAAAACTTTTTTGTTTGCTTTGACTTTAACCCCTTAACTTTCGTGACGACACCAGCGACCCGCCGACTTACATGCAAAGCATTTCGAGGGCGACAGGTAAGCATTAGCTCTTTGCTTTTTAAACGGAGACAGAAACGGGATTCTTTTTATAACTCAAGCTTCCCACTTTTCACAAGCAGAAGAATTATAGCAGCACTGATGGTCTTTGCTCTGGATGATGGCGATGTCTTTCACAGCTGAGCTGCCCACTCCATCCAAGAAACTATGTGTCATTCTGTCTCAAGATTCATCACTAAAGATCGCCATAAATGCATGTTACAAAAAGGCAGATCTCTCTTGGGGTTTTTTTGTGTGTCTTTGAGAGATCTCAGTCAACAGTTAAAAGTCGAAGCTCAAGACAAGGTCAGGAGGACAGAGAACCTTTCCTCGGTCAGCCGCTCCTGGAGCTGGAAATCACAAACCTCCTAATTTGACTGCAGAAGACGTTCGGAGTCTCTGCGGCGGGAGTCCACCGCTGCAGACAAACACGGCTGAGTTTCCTTCTGAGTCGCAGAATGAAAACCTTTCCGCATCCGTAATGCATGAGATTCGGCATCAGAAGCTAAAAAGTAAACATGTAACGCGACAAAGACCTTGGGAGGAAGGAGAAGGGAAAACCCTCCAACTAAATGGAAGCAGCTTGAAAAATGCTGTTCAAAAACGTTTTGTACCAAACACCAACTCAAATTCTCCCCCAGCTGCAAAAAAATGTGCTTCAAAGCAGTGAGATCTCACTCGGTGGTGCCATCAAAGCTTCATGTCGATCAACAACACTCAGCCTTTTTAAAGAGCAAGCAGAGTTGTTTATTTTTTTTTAGATTATTTCAGCATGGATTCCTTTGCATGTCCACTAACATAGCAGGAAACTCAGCAGTTCGGTTTGTGATGGGATACTGTTATTTGGAGTTTTTTCTCCTTCTGCCCTCCACAGATCGTTCCTCCACTGAGATCTGCTGCTGCTGGACGACGGACAAGATAACAAGGCATTTATTAAAAGTAACGAAATGAAACAATGACCCGGGCTTTATGGAGCTATTCACAGGTAAGTTATCCCACCACAACTCTCTCTATGGTTTTTATGACGTATATGCTGAACAAAGAAAAAACACAAGCGAGTGATAAATCTGAATAAATCTAAAGAATTCACTCTAGGAAGGCAACTAGAAAGTTAATTTGCATTAGAGATGGCTGGCTCAATCCAAAGTATAAAAAATATTGAAATGAAGTTGGTTTCACTGTAGATTTTAAAAAAACACAAAAACACATAAACAATCACAAGTTTGACGAGACATCAAACAAGAATAGATAGCCTTAGTACCGATATCGGTATCAGTATTGATATCAGTATCAGTGGCAGTGGTGATGTATTTACTTGGTATCGGATCGACACCAAAACAATATTTCACACACTTCGACTTTGTGTTCGAGTTTTTATTCTTGACATTTTCAAACAGCAGAAAACTAAAAAAATAAAATAAAAAAACCCTAAAAAAACACACACACAGACATCGCATTAAAGGTAAAGTATTCCCCACTGAACTTTAAATCTGAACTAACAATTAAAAAAAGGGTTTGTCCTGAGCTTAAACGTGCCAAGTTTATGCCGACTGGAGCGACTTCTGCACCATCTAATAAAGGAAAGAAAGCAGGAAACGCACTTATCAATCAGTCCATTCTCACCAGTCCTGCTCCTCCCTGCCTCTTTAATTGCATCGTGCTCCAGAAAGGGCAGATTTTTCTCTCCTTCCTCCAGCTCAGAACAATGAGAGATATGACAGAGAGGAGATAGAAAAACGAACAGCGGCAGCACTTTTAAAGATGAAAGTCCAGAGGCAGTGGGGACAGAGATAATGACAGACGGCGAGAGAAAACAAAAAACTGCTAACTTGTGCACAGATTTAAAACATTTACATCCACTCGCTTTTAAATCAAAGCACCAAATGATGAGTCTGATTTTAGGAGGAAAGTTTTTTTTTTTTCTTTTGGCAGAGGCTGAATGGATTACCTTATTATCTTAATTAAGCTGCAGTTATCTACCAGTAAAAAGTCCCGACCACAAGGAAGGGAGCAGCAGCGAAAGTACAGGATAGGATCTGTACTTGTCAATCTACCGGGCCTGGTTGATTTTTATTTATTTACTTACTTATTTTAGCAGCTGCAGGAAACAGACAAAACAATTAAACCCATGCACACTCTCTGTCTGCGTTATTCAGATTCAACCCCTCAGATAACCTGAGACAAGACAAGATCCATCTGATGATGATGATGATTAGATCAGCGCTACGTAGGATGTGAGGATTAAATGTAACAAATTAGCCAGCTCGGTGGTCCGATAAGCTATCGCTAAGCCCACCGGAGAGAATTTCCACAACACATCTGCACAGCTTTGATAAGGTTTGTCTGATCGATACGGACGCAGCAATCGCCAAAGGATTTGTCTCGCCAAACGTCTCCTGATGCTTTTCATGTCAAGCGTGCAGCCGGACCTCTGCTTCTCGACACAGCAGCTGAGACGCGTTTGTGTTTATCTGACAATTGTCCCCAGTGCAGGTTTTAAAATGTATATATTTATATATATATACTTATATATATAAATATACCAAGAGCGTTCACAACACTTTAAGCTGCTGGGGAAGCTTTTAACTTTATTTTAAGGCATTTTGTGGGATTAGTGATTAGGCGTGCGTTAAGCTCACAGTGAGGTTGCTCTGCAGTAAAAGTTCAGATGAGGATATTGCTGACAGGCAGTGTGCGACCCGACCAAAGTGGTGGTCACCCCCCTCATCCTCCCGCCCCGTTTTTTTGTCTTCTTCCTCCTCACGTTTCACAACCGTTAGCTCAAAGGAGACTAAAACGCACCAAGCTGGTTTTACTTTCCCTCGGCCTCTGAAGAAACTGAGGAAAAGTTCAGAGCCTAACGCTCTTCTCTGTTTTAAACCCAGATGGAATTTAAAACAGAGAACCACTTCATCCGTGTTTTTTTTTTCACTTTTGAAACCGTCCTGCTTGAGAATAAGCGGCTTTTTCTTTCATTTCCTGTCATTGTTTATTAATTCCGATTAGATTTGATCATCTGTTTGCCTTGAACAGAAACGAAGCAGGTTCAAAAGTCTTTGATGCTGCTTAATAAAAGCTTTAGAATATGACTAACATATATACATTTTAGTGTTTTAAGAAAATGTCTTAGTGTTTATTTTACACAGGAACAATTATCGAAAGAAAAAAAAAAGCAGTCCGTTTGAAGGTGGCTTCTGTCCTATACAAAGCTAAGACTGCAGGAAATAATTCAATACAATTGAACAAATTTGCTCACAATTTGTTACATTTAATCCAAATAAGTTCCTTTCTTTTCAGCTGTTGTTCGCTATTTGTTTTTAACCAACACATATTTTGATGTGTCTACAAACTCGCCACATATCACATTTTGCAAGACCCTTTGAGTATTTAACTTTTTATGTTGCCATCTAAACCAATGAACAAGCCTAAAGTCTGCCCTGCTGTTGAGACAGAGTATCTGAACCCACAACCATCAAAAGTTTGATTCACTGCACAGTCTGATCACCTCAAAGTGGATAAAACATAGAAATGATTAATTAATAATCTTATAAATAATAAATCAACAATTTTATAATAAATAATAAACTGAGGAAAGTAAGTTAAACTACCGTGCTGTTGGAGTTTTGTTAAGCATTCAGCATGCTGAGGTGAGTAACTATCAGTGCGGATGGGGTTGGTATCCCTTATATATATATTAAAGTTCACCGTCAAGTGACATACGTCGCAGGTTGCTGGGGGAGTTGGCATTCAAAGGCCGTCGTGTCTCCATTCTTTCATTCCTCTGAGGCTCTCAGTGCATCGGCTCGTACGGTTGTCAGTCCACAACTCTGAGTCACATGTTGTGATTTAGCCTATTCTGTCAGTCTCAATAACCTGCCAGGCTTTCTTCCAGGTCAGGTGTGAGGATTGTGCATTATCACTTACACAGCATCATTTTTTGAGCATGTTTGGAAACCCTGTATGTGGAGACACGAACATATTTGCAGACACGTCCCTCCGGATATTTGGGTCTATTTTTTCTTTTCTCCTCTGATTTCTCTTTCAAACATAACATTTTCAGCTTTGCTCAACATTTGTTGATTTATGTCTCTGCAGGCTCCTCTTTTAAAAAACAAACAGAAAAACCACTAACAAAAGCCAGGAGTGATCTATAAAACAACTCTGC